GGATATCTTGCCTAAAGAGAAACCTGCCACTAAGACCTGCTAAGTCTTTAAAGCAGACACATACTTCTATATAGAGGATCATTTGACCTTGTAGTAAACCTATTAAAATGATCCATGTCCTACATATGTATCACCTAAAATTTTAGTAACTTATGCTGAGTCTAAGAACAAATACTTGCGAGCCAAGGCTGCTACCATTACCTACTCTGTGCTCTTGCAAAGTTTGCTCAAATCCTAGTATACTCTTAACAACCTATACTTCCAGTTTCTCAAACTAAGCCCTATTTTTAGTTCCTTAAACTTCTAATTCAAATAGCCCAAAAGAGCTATGACCTGCTTCTGGTATCTATGATTAGGTCCTTTTTCTTCAGTTACTTGTCTGGTGACCTGGTTTGTGAAGTGCCTTGCCAAATACTTTGATCTTGTTTAGTTTTATCTTTTCTACTATTTGGTTTATCCTTTTCAAATCATTAGTTAGTACCGTCAAAGATTTGTACTATCTCTTTGTTCGGGTCCTAACAAGCAAGCTTCTATATTCCAATCCACTGGTTTTATCTAGCAGCTTTACTGTCGTACAACTTATACATTATACAGTATTTCTACTGCCTCTCAGTATAACAGTACTGGTGCGACCCCATTACAGGTGCTAACCCAATAGGATATAGTCTTCCAAATGTATTTTCATAAATTCAAATTTTGTCAACAATAGGATTCAAACTCTTGTCCTGCTGCTTGGAGGTATAACAACTTACCAACTACACTAAGTTATCACATCCTAGTAGACTTTTTCTTAAAATACTCCTTATTCAAAAATAAATTATTACTTAATAATACTTTATTTAATAAATCAAAAATTATTTTATTAAGGGTAAGGTATCTTTTAATTCGATGCTATATGCAGAAATTGACCTAAACAAGTAATGATCATCAATTCGTATAATCTGATAAAAATAGAACTGATAAGATCGAATAACCAATCAAATTATGCTAAAATTTATATATAAACATATATAATGATTCGTAAATTGATAATTTTTTCTTCTTCGTTTACTGTAAAATTGCCTTATAAATAATTAAGATCTGTTATATTCTACCAAAATATTTAGTTAGTAAAAATGGTAAAAAGATGGAGTCTAATATAATGGAGATGATTTCGATATTAAGAGAAGCATAGCAGAAATAAGATAAAATTATCGTTTGAAATAAGACCAAATTGTTACTTAGGCCTTCTCAAGCTTTTCCCTTATTGTAATTGACTAGTAATCGAGGTGACACTCAAATGCTACGATCAATTCAAATAAAGATTGCTTGAGCTATCTTTTTCAATCGATTTCCATTATGACTCCAAGAAAAAAAAGGCGATTATCCAGTTATCTAAAAATTTAGCACCCAAGATTTTGATGTTTGAACAGCCTTAGTCTTATAATTTCTGGCAATTTAAAGATAAGTTTATATAATATTTAGAGGGGAAATTTAGCACAAAGATAAGTTGAACAGTTTGTATATTTTTTGAATTCAAGACAGAAGAAACACTAACGAATATTCAACTTCTTTGTGATTACAGATTGATTCTGTTAAAGTATATAGTAGTTTAGAGATATTTAGGGTTAGAATTAAGATTTGGAAAGGGTTTTTGAGGATGTAGTTCGTTAGTTGAGGTTCGGATTGGGTGTTTTATGGATCTGAGTTAGTTCCTATAGTCTATTTTTGTTTTAATAATAATATTCTTTGAATTCTTTGACAAGTTATAATTACTTCGAATAAACATATACAAATTATAAGATTGAATTACTTTGACGAAGAATTATTTTAATGAATTAATGTATCTTATATTTTCCCATATCAAATTTGAGCAATTTTTATATCACTTGATTCTTATCGTTGAGAAAAATGAATGGTGAAAATTTGGTTAGATCTGATCACTAGGATATAAGATGTTATTTTTGTCACATAAAATTCTTATTATTTATATAAAGATATCTCTAATCTAGTGAATGGATTTGGCATTTTTTCTATTTAATTCCTTCCAGCGAGAGAAATCAGATAATATTAAAATAATTCGAATCTGATTGTTAGGTTACTGAATCTTATTTATCAAAATAATTAAATTTCTTGTAAAATGTTCAGTCTTATAATTATTACTCTAAAGCGGCTTGTTGTACAACTCTTTTATAGTTGAATTTATTATCGATTGAATAGGTTTTATATGGTAAATAGACAAGATATTTTTTATATTGATTACTTTAACTTTGTAAACGTACAACTATTTATGTTGCTATGTACTGGTAATTCTTTATTATTAGCCTAAAAATGAACAGGAGGTAAGCCAATTCTAATTTATCGCACTCTTTTTTTGTCTTAAACTTGGTTTTACAAATTCCTACTATTCATTCATACCTATTTGCTCTTGTGCATTATCAGAAATAGAGACTATACTACAGCTATATATTAATATAGAAAAGCCAGAATGTAGAGGTTCAATATTTACATTCTGCCTTATAAGCCCTTTAATGATTAACTTATCTATCATGTGAAAGCATGCATCTCGAGTAGAAATTATTGGTTTATATAAGGTATCTTCTTCCTCATTCCAAAACAATGATAAGTTTTTATCTCTTGTATTTTTGTTCTCAGCTTTTAAGAAAACATCTACTAACTCCTTTCTTCCAAAACTCATTAACTTTCCCTTCGCAACCATTCTCAACAACTTTTCTGTTACATTTAGCATTCTTAACAAGTCATTATAAACATTAACTCGCACTGCTTTATCTTGAGATCGTCTAATACAATTATTACATATATTGCATTCAGAAATCGATAGATCTATAGTCCATTTAAAAGATGTATAGTACAATATTTGCCTACAAGTGTAAATATCTTGAAAACAATAAGATGACTCAAAAATAGTTGCTGCGAAATCATCATCTTGTGAAAAACTGTAAATCAATCACCTATCAGTAACTTTATTATAAAATTTATGTTGAATTTTTTTTTTGTATCTTAATACAAACTAATTATTTACCTTTCCTTATTTTTTGCTTTGATTAGAATTAATCTTCGAATCTCACTTCGTGAATAGAATATTATAGATTTTCCAGGATTGTCATCACGTGCAGCACAGCCAATTTCTTGTACAAGATTTGTAATAGAGATTGGAAATGTTGCATGTATTATTACTCTTATATTAGCAATATGTACACTCATTCCAAAAGTATTAGTTGCCACTATATAACGATAGAGACCAGTTTTCTAATCTGTTAAAGCTTTTTTTTGTTCATTACTAGACATTTTTCCATGGTAAGCTGTGATTAAATCTAAATTATATTGTTCTTTAAGAGCTGTAACTATATTTACACATTCATTTGGCATTGCGCAATAGATAATTATTCGTCTAGAAGTGATCTCATTTATAATTTTAAATATTGCTTCTAACAACTTATCTTTTTTTATAGGCTTAGAATATACTTGAAGATTTAATTCTGGTCTATGAATGTGTTTACTGTGAATTATATTCAAATTAGGACATTTAAGATTTATAATCAATTGGTTGGCCATAAATTCACTACAAGTTGCAGTTAACAAAAGGATTGGTGTCGAGGTAAATTCATCTTTCAACTTGAATAGTTGATTCCAGGCTGGTCTATTAATAAGTTAATTTTAGAATTTTTCTTATTTGTTAATTAATTAATTACAAACAATTATCTAAAATGTGCATATTCTATTATACAGTGGGCTTCATCTATAACGAACTGAATTTTTCATATTTCGGCTATTTTTTTTAACATTTGACGAAACTTTAGGTTTTGAATAAATTTTTCTGGTGTAATCCACAAAATTTTAGTATATCCCGAAGCAATTTCTGAAAAAATTTTTTCTTGTATATCAGGAGGTTGGTCTGTAGTGGCAAAAAGATATGCTGAAGGTATTCTCATATCGATTAGCTCTTTCTATAATGATTATAAATTATAAAACTTAATTCAATATTAGTTTAGATTTATTGCATATAATATAATAATATTAATTTATTTATATACCAATTGGCATCCTATTAGAGATTTTAACGGAGTGAATACTACTGTCAATCCACAAAACAGCACACTCGCCACAGAGAAAACTAGAGTTTTACCTCCTCCCATTAGCATAATAGTTAATGTATTCTTGCCTAATATAAAGCTTTCTATACTTTTATACTGCAACTCTTTATAATGTTGAAAATTAAAAACTTCTAACAAAACCGCTTCAATCATATTTAATAAGGGTTGTGTTGGTAATTTTTTTTTTGTAGAATGAAATTTTGTATTAACAATATAATTTGTTAATCCATCATTCCAATAAAATCCACACAATTTATAAAGACCTTGTTCTGAGAATCTTTTTGAAAATGAACCACAACCTTCACATAAAATAAACCTATCAAAATTAGGGATAAGTTCAAAAAAGGATAGACGGAATATAGATCTGATAATATTATCTTGTACTATTTTTCCATATAGAATTAAATCCTATTTAAGTTTTTTTATATGATTTATATTAGTGCTCTGCAACAGATAACTAAAATATAATATAGTATAATTTTGATTTATTAAAAGCCTAATACTGTATTCAGATTTAATTATAATATTAATTTTAGATATCGATATTAGCTTTTAATAGATCAGAATTATATATAGATATCAACTTTTTATGTTTTAATTTTAATGTCTATCTTCCTGACGATCCTCTGGTCAACAACAAAAATCGAACTACAGCAAAACGTATAGAAAAGCGACGAAGTGGATACTAAAACTTGGTCCTATAAATAGAGCAGCTTGTTGTTGACGAAGTCTAAGCATCTAAACGTGAAATACCGAGGAGCAGGCATCAAAAGAATACGGACGGTTTTCTTTGGAGTCAAGTTTTCTTTCTAGTGGACTCCCCAAAGTATTTGACATCCAAACCAGAAGGTTTATTCTAGAAACAAGTCTGTAGAAGTAGCCAACGTGCACTCCTAAATGGTAGAAATGGAGAAGCTGGACTATACAACTGTAACTCTTACAAGAAGAACCTCACATACTCTCATTGGCCCACCA